TGGTGGGAAGAAATGGGAAAAATGAGGGAAAAATAAGGAAAAAAATGGGAAAAAATGGGGGAAAGAAAGAGAAAAAAAGGAAAAAAGCAGGGAAATGAGGGGGGGGAAATGGGAAAAAAATGGGGAAAATAAGGAGAAAATAAGGGGAAAATAAGAGAAAAAATGGGAAAAATCAGGAGAAAAAAACCTGGAAAAAAACCAGGGAAATGAGGGGGGAAAATGGGAAATAAATAGGAAAAAACATGGGAGAAATGAGGGAAAAGCTGGGAAAAACGGGGGGAAAAATGAGAAAAATGGGGGAAAATAAGGGGGGAAAATGGGAAAAATGAGGGAAAAAATGGGGGGGAAAAAGGGGGAAAAATGGGGAAAACAATGGGGAAAAAGTGGAGAAAAAATTAGGAAAAATGGAGGAAAAAACGGGAGAAATTGGGAAAAAAGGGTGGGAAGAAATGGGAAAAAATGGGGGAAAATAAGGGAAAAGAATGGGAAAAATGGGGAAAAAATCAGGAAAAAAATGGTGGAAAGAAAGAGAAAAAAAGAGGAAAAAACCAGGGAAATGAGGGGGGAAAATGAGAAATAAATGGGGAAAAACATGGGAAAAATCAGGGAAAAATCCCGGGAAAAATGGGGTGAAAAAAAGGAAAAAAACCGGGAAAAATGGGGGAAGATTGGGAAAAATGGGGAAAAAGCAGGGGAAAAAAAGGAAAGAAAAGGGGGGAAATGGAGAAAAAAGGGGGAGAAAACAGGGGAGAAAACAGGGAAAAAGTGGGGGGAGAACGAGGAAAAATGGGGGAAAAAACAAGGAAAAAATGGGGGAAAAATGGGGGAAAAAATGGTGGAAAGAAATGGGAAAAGTCGGGGAAAATGGGAAAAATGAGAGAAAAATAAGGAAAAAATGGGGGAAAGAAAGAGAAAAAAAGCAGGGAAATGAGGGGGGAAAAATGGGAAATAAATGGGAAAAAAATGGGGAAAATAAGAAGAAAATAAGGGGAAAATAAGAGAAAAAATGGGGGAAAAAAGGGGAAAAAAAGGGAAAAAAAAGAGGAGAAAACCCAGGGAAATAAATGGGGAAAGTGGGAAATAAAGGTGGGAAAATGGGAAATAAATGGGAAAAAAGAGGAAAAAATGGGGGGGAAAATTGAGAAAAATGGGGGAAAATAAAGGAAAAAATGGGGGAAAAATGGGGAAAAAACAAGAAAAGAAATGAGAGGAAGATGAGGAAAAAACGGGGAAAAAAGAGGGAAAAGAGAGGAAAGAAAAGGGGGGAAAATGGAGGAAAAAGGGGGAAAAATGGGGGAAATTGGGAAAAAAATGGTGGGAAGAGATGGGAAAAAACATGGAAAAAAAAGGGAAAAATCAGGGAAAAACACAGGGAAAATCAGGGAGGAAAAAAGGGAAAAATGAGAGAACAATAAGGAAAAGAAATGGGAAAAAATGGGGAAAAGAAAGAGGAAAAAAGAGGAAAAAAGCAGGGAAATGAGGGGGGGAAAATGGGAAAAAACAGGGAAAAAATGGGGGGAAAATAAAGGAAAAAAAAGGGAAAATATGGGAAAAAAAAGGGGGGGGAAAAAGAGAAAAAAAAGAGGAAAAAACCCGGGGAAAGAAATGGGGAAAATGGGAAATAAATGGGAAAAAACGTGGGGAAAAAATGGGAAAGTCAGGGAAAAAATGGGGGGGAAAATGGGGAAAAAATGGGGGGAAAAATGGGGAAAAAAGTGGGAAAAATGGGGAAAAAAGAAGAAAAGAAATGAGGGGAAGATGAGGAAAAATGGGATTTCAAAGAGATTTTGGGATCCCAAGGAATTTCGGGATGCAAAGGAATTTTGGGATGAGATTTCAAAGAAATTTTGGGGATCCAAAGAGATTTTGGGATGGGGTTTCAAAGGAATTCTGGGATCCAAAGTGATTTTGGGATCCAAAGGAATTTCGGAATGGGATCCAAAGAGATTTTGGGATTTCCCAGGGATTTTTGGGATCCAAGGAGATTTTGGGGTGGGATTTCAAAGAGAATTTGGGATTTCTAAGAGAATTCGGGATCCCAAGGAATTTTGGGATCCCGAGGAATTTTGGGATGAGATTTCAAAGGAATTCTGGGGTCCAAAGAGATTTTGGGATCTGAAGGAATTTTGGGATGGGATTTCAAGAGAATTTTGGGATCTGAAGGAATTTTGGGATGGGATTTCAAGAGAATTTTGGGATCTGAAGGAATTTTGAGATGAGATTTGAAGAAGATTTTGGGATCCGAAGAAATTTTGGGATTTCAAAGGAATTTTGGGATGGGATTTCAAACAGATTTTGGGATCCAAAGAGATTTTGGGATCCGAAGGAATTTTGGGATCCGAAGGAATTTTGGGATCCAAAGGGATTTCAGAACGTGAAGGAATTTTAGGATGAGATTTCAAACTAATTTTGGGATCCGAAGGAATTTTGGGATGGGATCTAAAGACATTTTGGGAATTTTAGGGGCTTTTGGACCCTTCAGGTATTTGGGATTTGGGGCTGGGATTCTCCCGGAATTCCGGGATCTCATTCCCACTTTTTTCCCGGCAGGGCGGCGGCCTGGAAGCGTTGACGGAGCGATTCCAACCCCACCAATCCACGCCCTCCCCGCTGCTCCTGGAGCAAAAACCGGGAATGTTCTCCCAAACTTTCCCACCTTCCTCATCCTCCTCATCCTCCTCCTCCTCCTCCTCCTCCTCCTCGGCCTCTCCGAGCGCCAACATTCCTGGGAATTTCCCGGGAATGCTCCGGCAGAAAGCGCCGCCCTTCGGAGCCGTCGCCGTCCCTCCTCCTCCTCCTCCTCCTCCTCCTCCTCCTCCCGCCCGTGGAACATTCCCGAATAATTCCATGGGAATTCCGGCCCGGCAGCCTCTGAGCCGCCCTCCCAGCGCTCCCAACCAGCTCCGCCTGCAGCTCCAGCAGCGCCTCCAGGGCCAGCAGCAGGTAAACAAAAAAAAATTCCCAAAAAAAAATTCCCAAAAAAAAAATTATTCCCGTTTTTTTTCGTTGACGTTTTGACGGGATTTGCGTATTCCCGGAATTTTCCAGCTGATCCATCAGAACCGCCAGGCGCTCCTCAACCAGTTTGGATCTCCCGTGGGGATCTCCATGAGGCCGGGGATGCAGCAGCAGCTGGCGCCGCAGGTAAAGCGGGATTCGGGATGGAATTCCGTACGGGAAAAATCCGGGATGGAGCTCCCCAGCTGCTCCTCGTGGGAGGGAATTCCTGGGAAATTTTTCCTGGATTTTTGAGGTGTTTTTTCCCTGATTTTCTGGCATTTTTTACTCCTTAACGGGAGAGAATTCCTGTTTTTTTCTGGATTTTTTCCTGATTTTTCCTGGTTTTTTGGGTGTTTTTTCCCTGATTTTCCAGCTTTTTTTCTCCCTAACGAGAGAGAATTCCCAGGTTTTTTTCCCGAATTTTTGAGGTGTTTTTCCCCGATTTTCTGGCTTTTTTTCCTCCTTAATGGGAGAGAATTCCTGGTTTTTTTCTGGGGTTTTTTCCCATTTTTTCCTGATTTTTTTCCCATTTCTTCCTGATTTTTCCCTATTTTTTGGGTGGTTTTTCCATGATTTTGCCGTTTCTTTTCCTCCTTAATGAGAGAGAATTCCCAGGTTTTTTTCCTGAATTTTTGAGGTATTTTTCCTTGATTTTCTGACTTTTTTTCCTCCTTAACGGGAGAGAATTCCTGGGTTTTTTTCTGGGGTTTTTTCCCATTTTTTCCTGAGTTTTCCTGGTTTTTTGGGTGTTTTTTCCCTGATTTTCCAGCTTTTTTTCTCCCTAACGAGAGAGAATTCCCAGGTTTTTTTCCCGAATTTTTGAGGTGTTTTTTCCCGATTTTCTGACTTTTTTTCCTCCTTAACGGGAGAGAATTCCTGGTTTTTTTCTGGGGTTTTTTCCCATTTTTTCCTGATTTTTTTCCCATTTTTTCCTGATTTTTCCTGGTTTTTTGGGTGGTTTTTCCATGATTTTGCCGTTTCTTTTCCTCCTTAATGAGAGAGAATTCCCAGGTTTTTTTCCTGAATTTTTGAGGTGTTTTTCCCTGATTTTCTGACTTTTTTTGCTCCTTAACGGGAGAGAATTCCTGTTTTTTTTCTGGGGTTTTTTCCTGATTTTTTCCTGATTTTTTTCCCATTTTTTGGGTGGTTTTTCCATGATTTTTCGGGTTTTTGTCCTCTTTAATGGGAGAGAATTCCTGGTTTTCTTCTGGTTTTTTTCCTGTTTTTTCCTGATTTTTTCCATGTTTTTTTGGGGTGTTTTTTCTATGATTTTCTGGCTTTTTTTCCTCCTTAACGGGAGAGAATTCCTGTTTTTTTTCTGGGGTTTTTTCCTGATTTTTTCCTGATTTTTTTCCCATTTTTTGGGTGGTTTTTCCATGATTTTGCCATTTCTTTTCCTCCTTAATGGGAGAGAATTCCCAGGTTTTTTTCCTGAATTTTTGAGGTGTATTTTCCTGATTTTCCAGATTTTTTTCCTCCTTAACGGGAGAGAATTCCTGTTTTTTTTCTGGGGTTTTTTCCTGATTTTTTCCTGATTTTTTTCCCATTTTTTGGGTGGTTTTTCCATGATTTTGCCATTTCTTTTCCTCCTTAATGGGAGAGAATTCCCAGGTTTTTTTCCTGAATTTTTGAGGTGTATTTTCCTGA